GGAGGAGGAGGAGGAGGAGGAGGAGGAGGGGTGTTCTGTCGATATTCGACCGCGAGGGCGCACAGCCTTCGGAGGGTCAGATACGAAGCTGCCGACCGCGCCGCCCGTCCCTCGTCGCCGCGGCTGGATGCGCCGCGAAGTCCTGGTCAGAACGCACCCCAGGAGAGGTTCGGGGAGCAGCGGCACGTGTCGAGTACGTACCAGGCTGAAGCATACCTCCATCCGTGTGGGTGGCATCGCTTTGGCTCGGTGTCGATCTTGAGGATTCTGCCGGCGCTCTGAAAGAAAATTGACCATCGCCTCGGGCTGGTCGATCTTAGGGATAGGGACAAGTTCGAGGCTGGGTAACGTATCAGTACCTTTTTTCGTCGTCCCCGTACATCACCGCGGCAGGTGGCATAGCCAGTCTGACCCCATTCTTGACTAGCGAAGCGTCCTGGCGGCTTTGTCGGGGCAGCGAAGTTGTCAACATAGCTCAGCGTAGTTCGATAGTATTGTCCTAGTGGGCGGGCCGAACGGTCATTGATTGTCTCTGGGTGCGTGACAGAAAGGGCATTCCGTCTGGCGGATTATGCTTGTTGTGTTGTTGTTATTGCGTTGTCGTCGCCTTCGCCCGCGACCCACACGCGAATCCACCCCGCGATCCACCCGCTACCCACCCGCGATCCACCAGCGACCCACCCCGCGACCGCCCCCTCTTTTCCGCAATTGCCGGGTGCAACGTGCATTTAGTTGCGGTGTTCCCCATCCAGTGCCCTGCGCACCTTCGGGTGTATGATTTCTTGCGTCTGCCATGCATCACCGTGCGTCTCACACGGCGAGGTACTGGGCGCGAAGTTGGGTGACCTCGGGCGACGCAGTAAGCCAGGGTCGTCTTCGCCGACACTGGCGCGCAAGCTTCCCGCGTAAGACCGCGCGTAAGCGCCCTCTTCTCCACGCGGTGGTTCACGCTGGCAGCCCGCGCAGGCCACCGCGCAGATGCGCCATGCCACCTCGCGTGAGATCCCCTTCTCTTCGTCGCCTGCCTGACATGCCCCCCGTCCTGTTCGCCAGGGCGCAGCCTCTGTCTGCGCACCTTCCAGAACTCCTGCCGCCGCCCCTGCCCGGCCTTCGGCGCTCTCCGCTGCCGGCACCGCCGCCGACGGCAACAGCGCCAGCAGCTTGGGAGCAATCGCCACGCCTGCGGGCCGGCACTCTGCGGCCGCTGCGCGCCTCGCGCCGCGCAGCACATCTTTGAGCCGGCGGCGCAGAGGAACCTCAGGCGCGGTCGTCAAGCAGTGGCGAGGCGTCCTGGCGTGCCTATAGTGCTACCGAACAATGTTCTAAGAACCTCTTGTGGTTCCCACGAAATGTTCTTGGAATATTTCTGGTTGGGACTGTCTTGTTTGATCACATCGGGTTCATGTTCTAAGAACATTGTTTTTGTTCTTAGAACATTTTTGGGTTCTAAGAACAATTCGTGGTAGGAGTAGGACTATAGGAATGCCGGGACGGTCGGACCCTGCTCAAGGTCGGCAGGTGGAGGTGCCCATTGCGAACGAACTTACGGTGGGGGGCCATGCCAAGAAACACCCTGCTTTCCTCCAGGGTGCCCTGGGTTTCTCGGGTTTCAATGGCCTTGCTGTGGAGGGCGTGACGTTTCCACACCAGAATCCAATGGCAGCCCTGGGGTGTCAGGGTTGGGTTTCTTGTGGAAAGTTTCTTGTGGAATGGCCTCCACTGTAGTCGAACGCGCCATGATGGAACAGCCCAGCCATGGCCATGCAGAAGGTGGTGTGGTAGAAAGCGGGAGGCGCTGTAATGCCAACATGCAGCGGCCGAATATACCCCGGAACAGAAGCTCGACGTGGGCAATCTGAAGCGCAGCAGCAATATGGTGCTAGTTAGGGCCAGGAAGAACCGACAGATGATGACCCCAAAAGCGTGCAGCGGCCAGAACTTTAGGAGCCCGATAGCTCGACTCAAGCAACATGAAGCGTCGGTACAAGCTACAACATGTAAAGCCGCCAGACCAGCCGATTGGTGGGGCCCGCCCGGAGCACACACACACACCCTTTTTGTTGGCGGTAGCAGCCTTGCGTGTGGCGACGAGGCGGAGAAAGCGTACAGACGGTGCGCGCGGCGGCAGGGCCTTCAAGCATCCCTGCCCTACCGGCATCAGCCAACACGCACACACACATTGTTGAGTCGGCGGCGCAGAGGAACCTCAGGCGCGGTCGACAGGTGGAGCTGCCAATTGCGAACTAACTCAGTCGAACGCGCCATGATGGAGAAGCCCAGCCATGGCCATGCAGAAGATGGTGTGGTAGAAAACGAGAGGCGCTGTAAGCCAACGTGCAGCGGCCTAAAAAGACCTGGGACATAAGCTCGGAGTGCAGCGGCCAGAACCCGAGGAGCACAATAGCTCGACTCAAGGCAGCCTGAAACGTCGGTACAAAATACAACCTGTGATGCCCCTACCTCGATACGATCGAGAAAGGTACGGAGAGAATGTGCACGAAGGCCGTCTGCATGTCCTGCTCCTCCTGAACGGGACTTGCTGACGCTGTCGCCGCGGGCCTTGTTCATGCGAGGCAGACGGCAGCCTGCTCGACAGCGGCCGCAGTTGGTTTGGACAAAATCAGAGCGTGAATTACCTGCCCCGCTTTCGCTTCCAGGCAAAACCGAGTCATGCCACGCGCCTCCTCGTCAAGCGGCCTGACCAGTACAGGCCGTAGCTTGGCGTCGTTTGGCATCTCTTGGAAGCGAGGGTGGTCAAGAGCGATGTCGGTTTGTTTTCCCCCTACAATAGTTGTTCCTGGGGGAGGAGGAGGAGGAGGAGGAGGAGGAGGAGGAGGAGGAGGAGGAGGAGGAGGAGGAGAGGGAGGAGGAGAGGAGGAGGAAGAGGAGCCCACGCAGCCCCCTGGTGGTGCCCACTGCTCTCGCAGCCCCCTGGTGGCGCCCACCGCTCCCCGCGGAGCCGGCGCGCACCGCACGCGCCGCACGGCTCCGCGAGCCTGCCGCCCCACAGAGCGGGCCGGGCTCCTCCGCGAGGCCGCCGGCCGGGGCCACCCGCCGATCGCCGCAGGCGAGAGGTGCCGGGGCAGCCTGCCCCGATGCTGCCAGGCCCAAACACACACACACAAGACACAACACAGCACACAGCACACAATACACACACACACACACACACACACGCGCACACACACGCACACACACGCACACACGCACACACACACACACACACACACACACACACACACACGCACACAACACACAACACACGCACACACACGCGCACACACTACAACACACACACACACACACAGCACATGCACACATACACACAATACACGAACACAACCCACACACACACAACACACACACACACAGGAGAGGTAGAACACACGGCACACGCGCACACCACACACACGCGCGCACACACACACGCACCCACGCACACGCACGCACAAAAAACACGCGCACACATAAACGCACACACACACGCAACACAACCGCACCGCACACACTGCACAACACAGCACAAACACTATCACACACACGGAAAAGAAGAGCCCACACACACACACATTACCCACACACAACACACAACACACGCACGCAGTCAACGCAAGCACGGCACACCACAACGACAAGACAAAACACACACCAACACACACACAAAACAAACGACACACCGCGTGCGCACACACACACACACACACACACAACACACACACACACACACACACTTTCTGCCTCGCTTCTGTACTGCATGCTTCTCCCCACGCCCACAGAAAGGCACCCTGCCAGTTCAGGGTCGGCGGGTCTTGGGACCTCGCGCGCTCTCGCTCCGAGGGGATGCTGCAGAAGAAGACGGTCATAGACAGCCCTATGAAGGAGCCGCGCCTACCTTAGGGAAACAAAAAGTGGCATAAACACAAAAACCCGGAGGTCCGCGCGGATTTCTCGGATCGGGCGACTTTCGGATCGGGCGCTGGGACCCCCCCGTCGCGACTCCGGCGCCGCCCCTGGCGCGCCCCGCGCGCCAGGGAGGGGGGTCCAGCGGCGATCCGAGAAGTCCGCGCGGACCTCCGAGTTTTTGTATTTATGTCACTTCTTGTTCCCCTGTACCTGGTGGCCGCCGCCCTCCTTCTGTGTCGACGCCTCGGCACGAGAGGGGATAGCCATGCCATCTGCCGGGCAGCGCCGTGGAGGGTCGCCACCAGGGGCCCGCACCAGATCCTCCCTGACATCCGGGCTCCAGGACCGCAGCTGGGGGAGGTCTCTTGGACGCGGTCGTGCTGGAAAGAGGAGGAAGGAGGGAGAAAGAGACCGAGGTGTCTCCTCCCTCTCCCCTCCCCCTCCTCCTCCACAATGACTCAATATGACTACCACTCTCCCTCTTCCCCTGATGACGTTCGTTTGGGAATTGGGAGTAGGCCCGCCGCCCCCCCCCCACCCCCCCACCCCCCCCCACCCCCCGCGTACTGTTTTTTTACACACAGGATTCCCCGGAGTTGGGTTTTCGCTTGTGTTTTTTCAAAAATGCTGCTCTCGCTGTGGCGCCGGCCTCATTTCTGCTCCCGAATCGTTCCGAATCGTGCTCCCGCTGCAGCGTGGGCCTCATTTTCGGTTCGGTGTTTTGCCTCCGTCGTTCAGGATGGCGTTCTCGCCCCAGCGCGGGCCTCTTTCTCGCGCGCCCATCCGCCCGCCACCACCGCGCCGCACCACGCCCCGCCCCGCCGCACGCACACCCACCGCCACTTCCACCCACCAACCCACGCACGCAC